TATTATATTATATATTATATTACAGTAATGTTCATTAACAAAGGAGTTAATTCTTGTAATTGTAAAGCAATCTTTGGAATATATATATATATATATATCAACTCTGCATATCCCTGGTATAATAACATTTTTACTTTTTTTATTCACCAAACTGATGTCTTTGAAGGTTGTTTTTGGAGCTTACTTTTACGCTTTAATTTTTGTTTTAATTCCGAGTAATTATCTAACATCAATATTGTTTCTTTTATCTAATTGTTCAATTACCCAAGTTCGAGAAGGACGTAAAGAAAATTTTGCAGCTCTGATGTCAAGTTGCACAATCTTCCAAAAAGTATAACTTCCACTCTAAATTTCTCTCTTTTTTTTGAAAATACCGCCATGTTATACTCTTGATTGATATAAGCACAAATAAACAGAAATGAATTAACCTTCCATATGCACTTTCAGCAGCTAAAATTTTTGCTATCGTTTGCTTATCACTGTCTTCTATCAGAAATGGATCACCTGAAATAATTAATAAGGGACAGAGTTGAAACATAACAATTAACGTTTACTATAGGTTGTATTACTTATTTAATATTAAGCAAATATTCTGAAGAAGAAGAAATGGAGTGAATCTGTATGAAAATATAGAGCAGAAAGAAAAACAAATAAAATACAAATAGGTAGTAGAATTTGTTTACTGATCAGTTGGAGAGGTAACTTACCAGGCACAAAGTAACCAAATAAATCACCATTCCAGTCATTTACAGCAACTAAGGGTGGTTCTGATCTGTTCCCAGAAATACATCCGGCAGCCGAACTTTTCGATACCAGTAAAACCGTTCTACCGTATGACTCCAAAATCATAGTTGATTTATCACAGTTTACTTCTTCCCAAATATCAAACAACGGAAAATCGATGGAATCGGTAACCTGACACCTTAGTTTACAGTAGCAGTTATTATAGTAGTTATCGTATTCGTAACTTAGCTTTAGATTAAATTTGAAATTTCCATTTGAAATATATGTTTCTGCGAATAATATCATTTAAAACAACTTAATGCATGCTTTTTTTTTGCAAAAGTTGACAGCAGAGAGGTCAAATGATAAATTCATATTTAGGTCATATCGCCAAGTTATATTGATGCCTTTGAAGTATTTCGAAGGCATTTCCAGAGAACAAATAAAATTTGATGAGTGGACAAAAAATGTAACAGGGAAGAGTGAAACATTTTTTTTAGTATCTCAATTCCAGCATTGAATTATTCATTCATGACATATTTGGTAAAGGAAAATAATCATATAAAAGTAAATAAATAAGTACCTGTAGCTCAGTTCCAGCCCTTCGAATCCTTAATAACGATGCATCGCTCAAATAAAATAGTACTTGTGATTTATTTGGCATGAAATAATATTCATATTTACGTGGTATTGATGCCAGCTCCTGTAACAAACTTTATTATCAATTCTTGAAAAGAATAAATAAAAGATATGTTTCATTTTTCAAATTAAGAGATATTTTAAATCATAGCTCAAATTGGAAAATCATTCGATTTTAAAAACACATTGAATATTTAACATACAGACTATCATTTGTAACAATGTTTTTATTCTTTGCATGAAAATTTCCAATCCATCGAATGTCTAAACTTTCTTTAAACATTTTGAAAGTCAATAGAAATAACAATTAATAAAAGAGAAAGAGAAACTTTGCACATAACCAAATGATGTTTATGAAAGCATACAAACCCATATTGACTGTTGTCAACAGGAACACAAATCTTTATTTCCCTAATTTCTTTGAGTAAAACATAGCAAAGAACCAAATCGTTCTGTTCCTTTCTCCTTTCTATTTCAGAATATTTGGAGCAAGTGGAATGAAACTTTTCTGTTTCTCTGTGTTATTTACCAATAAAGTTTATTTTTAGTATCGGTTGAAATGATAGAATTTTTCGGCATTTTTTCAATCCAAAACTTTCCAAATGCTTCATTTTCTTCGAAAACGAAAAACTCAAATGTTTGACATTTTCGTACTTTTGAAAAAGGTAAATTATTTTTCTCATATGTAAGATTTTGGTGCATATTTTAGAATCATTTATTATTGCTAATTAATAACGGCTAACTTGCAAAAAAGAAATATTGCTCATTTGACTTATCATTTTATTACTCTCTAACTAATTTTCATCTGCTACTTGGAACCAATAATATTTCAGAGAAATTTCAGGTGTTATTAGATTATTCAAACTACATTTTAAGAAGGCTTAAATCCTATCTCCTGATCATAATGTTGATATTTCACTGTTTTTTTTGCGTCAACATTCGAATCTAAACTTTTCGAACTAATACGAATTCCAATTTTCTATCATCCGGAGTTAGAAATGATTCAACTAGCAGATGTAAATAAAGCTAGTCCCAATTTCTATTTTCATATAGCAAGTAGTAACCGGTTTTCCAGCAGGTATTACAAATCAATATTACCGCATCTTCTCATGGGGAAAAATAACCTAGAATGCAACTGATATAAGAGGACCAAATATTATTGAAGGAGGAATGAATGATCATGAAAATGGACGTTTAGTTTTACAGCAGCTGTTGAACTTTTTTTAATATTTTTGTTCCGATAAATCTCTAAGGACTTGCGCATTCTTCCATTCTTACTATTTTTTCCTTTCTCCTCAAACTAACAATTTGTCCCAAATTTTTGTTTCAACATTGAAAAATAAACAAAAACTTATCAAAGAAAGAAAAGTTGTATAACATTTTTTAATAAATTTGAACAAATTTGATCAAAATAGCATATAAAATTACGGGTAATATGAAGTGAATGAACAAATTATTATAGCAAAACTGAAATAAAATTGCAAAAAAAAATCAAAATATGACTAAAAAAATGAGAAAAAAAAGAAAAAATCAAAATGAAAACAAAATGGAATTGTGAAAAAACCAGGATAAAGTTGTAACAAAGCCAAATTAAGATATGTGAAAGAAGATAAATTTACCTGTGCATCCATATCGTCGTCAGTATGATTGGGTTGAAAACTTCGCGGTGACATATCATTACTATCAGCTGCATGATTACTAAGCATCATCATTACTTCACCATTAGAATCATGGTATTTGACATTATTATTTCTGTTGTTGGTCGTGGCGGTTGTAATATTGTTGACAGCGGCAACGGTGGTAATGATCGATTCTGAGAATTGATGACGGTTTACGGCTGGTAGTTCACTAAATGATGTACCGGGTTGCGGCATATTTGAATTACTGGTACCAATCAACAGTGACATTGTCTAGAACATATATTTCAATATTTTAGTTGAGATTTTTTAATTTTCTGGGAAACGAAAAACAAAATGAGCATTCAAAGACAAGATATTTTGATTGATGACTGTCACATTAAACGGTAGGTATAGCAGCAAATAATAGCCAACGGAAGAATATTAAGCAATCTGGTGAATATTAATCTTTAAAGCAACAGGGCAGGTGACCTTAAAAATTATTGAAAAAATTTTCAATTCCTAAAAGTGTAAGATTTCACAGTGGTCATATGTCATATATTATATAAAGTTAGTGACAATAATAATAATAATGATAATGATAACAACAATAGTAATAATAATAACAACAATAATAACAATAATAATAATAATAATAATAATAATAATAATAATAATAATAATAATAATAATAATAATAATAATAATAATAATAATAATAATAATAATAATAATAATAATAATAATAATAATAATAATAATAATAATAATAATAATAATAA